TCGGCATTCAACGAAGACGAAAACGAGTATTAAAAAATAGAAAATCGTATCACGGATATCGGTTGGGGTTTCAGAGATATAGAGAATGGATACCCACGGCCTTATATATATATATATAAGATAAAATTATCCTTTTATTTCTAAATTATTTACCAAAATATCTACGGTTTTATATGTTTTTATTACTATCCTAATCTTTTCAACTTCAGAATCATTTTGTATTTTTGAATTTTTTTCTAGAAATCTATGTATATTATAATATTTTAAGAATTTTCAAATTTTAAATATATTTTTGAATTAAAAAATATATAATTTTGTTGAATATTTATTTAAATTTAGATTGGTGAATGTTATATGGTACACCGTGTTGTGAGACAAAGATACAAGTAACATTCTCATAAAACCTGAGAAGACGCCTGTCCGCCCCTACCTCACTGTTGTAATATAAATTATTCAATCAATTTTAATCTCTAGTTGTCTTTCTCGGTGGTTCGAGTAATCGTCGATCCCATAAAAAAAAAGTGTACCACAACAGTTAGTAAAAAAGTCGGAATACCAAAATTATCATGGATTATATATATATATATGAAATGAGACAACAACATATAACATTATTTTGATCAAATATCATCTAGAAAATTCTAAATGAATTTCATTGAACCAAGTTAATATAACGAATAAGAAAAGACGAACGTAATTCAAAATTAATTTTTTTTAAACGAAAACCAAATTAGAAACTAGACCCAAAATAACATTTGAGAAATCTAGAGTTGCAAAATGGATGGGTTGGGTGGAATCCAATCCAAATTTTTGTGGCTTATAAATTTAGTGGGTGTTGTTAATTCCATCTATTAAACCATTATATTTATTTGGATGAATTCAAATGGATTATTGAGTTAAATGGATTATATAAAAATTAATTAATTAAATAGAATTCTAAGATTGACTAAAAGAGCCATGTCCCCGCTAACTACATTATCATCAGAGTGTTGTTTAGGGATGGATATTTCGGTACAATTCTTCAAAACTGAAGCGTACCGAATCGAAAAAGATGTTACCATTTTCAAAAGATTAAACAATAAAAAGACTTACTCATCCATCTTATTAGAGATATATACAAATCTGTGATATTTTGTACATCTCTCTAATACATCTTATGGTGGTTTAGTGATCATAGTTCGTGTGTGAAAAATGTTTGAAAAGTGGTTGGATTGTTACTTGACCTCCAGGTTCATTTCACAAATGGGGAGAGAAGATCTCATTATTTATTATATACTAGGTAATAACTCGTGCGTATCGCGCGGACTAAAATTACGTACAAATTTTAAAAAAAATTATTAGTTTATATCGTATCAATGTTATAAGAAATTTTACGATTCGATAAAAGAATTCTAATTTTTAAAAACTTAATGATATCCGAAGAATGTGATCTAATAAGTATAGTTTTAAATAATAATATAAATGATATGCCCCTTTCATTTGGTCCATCAATATCTGAGTCATTTTATTATTTTTTATAAGCTAATACTTGGTTATTTTATACTAAAAAACTAAAAACTAAGATTATGTTATATATGTGTGATATGTTTATTTTGTAGTAATAATATCATTTCAATAACTCATATGGAATTGATCTATTTCTAATTTAAATAAATCCACATTAGAATCTCATTCAGTTAAATCTTTTTCATTTGGTTTGACCTATATTTTGTGTTTTTATTATTTTTTATATATTCGAATTTCACTGTCTATCCTAAACTCCTCGATTATACGATAAATGAATTAATTTAGTTTTTCATACGTGAAAAATCTATTATCGTCTCGTAAACTTTCTTTAATCAGAAGTTAGTGCCTCAAATAAAGCACGACCAGACTCTAATGGGATTCGACTCGACTGATATTTCACTTGAAATATGAACTTCACGTCTAATTCGATAAGTTTCTAAAAACACTTGTTAAACAAAAATCTAGAGTTACATATGGAATTCTTACCTGACCAAACACATATTTCGCATTACCTCCCGTAAACCCTAACAGTTTCTACAGTTTTCATTAGACTCATTTTAGATTTATAAAAATTAATACAAATATTAATAAAAAAATTATTTATTAGATTCTAACGATATTTATCCAAAATCAAAACACTAATGATCCCAATGATACTTATGTATTTATTTTCCAAAGTAAAATATAATATGCATTATAAAATTGTAATATTACGTTCATTTTTTATAGAAAAATGATCCTAAAATGACACTTGTTAGAAAATCCAAAAACAAATTATAATATACACATCATATTAATATTGACAACAACACATTATATCATATTGGATATATCATTTACAAATAAAAATATCATTATATTTTTCATATAAATTCATATGTTCGTCTTCTAAAATTTCTAAGTTGCTTGATAATATATTTTGACCATAGAAAATATGTAATAATTGCATGTGATAAATTTGAGAAGATGATAGTATTTCATTTTGACGATAATTAAAATAATCTTTAAATACAACATTGGTTCACATGAAATATCTGTTTAGTACGTTGTACTTGCTAACTATAACTAATAAATTAGCTATTATTTTTTTTAGTGGCATCACTTGCATGAGTATTTTTTTTAATTATAACTTTTGTTTATTAAAAGACTACACATAACCAATCTGAAAACATCAATTTAATTAATTTATGTTTTATTATTTGATACATATTTTGTGATTTTATCCTCCATATTATATTCACAACCAGAAAAATATAACATTTAACATTATATTAAACATTGATTACCAAAAAACAAATACAAAGTATGTTTCACTAACATAATCATGTAAAACATGTTACTATGTAGATCAATCAAAGCCAAAGATATCAACAACAAAATCAAATTTGTTGGTATTTCTATTTAAAGAAAATATAAATTTAGTTTTTGAAAGATTTCATTTTTATTATGTAATTTTTATATTTTTTAAAATTAAAATCTAATTCATTTGATAAAAATTAATAAAATTAATAATTTTAGATTTCATATATAATTTTATATTACTTGATTTAATTTGATTAGTTTTAGTTTAATTAAATAACAAATACATTAAATTTAATGGACATGAAAAAATCATCATCTTTGTGGTGGGATCCTTCCCCTGACTCCCGCTCAAGGGAGCTTTTTGTGCACCGCACTGCCTTTAAACATATATCATTTACACATTATATTAAATATTGATCATAAAAAAAAATACAAAATATATTCCACTAACCGCAATCATGTAAAACATGTTACTATGTAGATCAATCAAAGCCAAAGATATCAACAATAAAATCAAAGTTGTTGGTATTTCTATATTTTCGATATTCTATCTCATCAAATAATCTCAATTAAAAATAATTGAGAGTTATGGAGATTGATGAACAAATTCAATGGAGTTATGGAGATTAAAAACAGATTCAATGGTCTACAATGTGCATTGATCGAACCAAATTAGAGAGAAGATGAACTAATATTTTGACAAGTAAACAAAGATATTAATTGTGTGTGTACATATCAAATGAGACAAAATCCTAAATACTATGAAGTGAA